ATTCCTTTTACCTATAAAGAATTTCCCCCTGTCAAACCCCGAGGCCAGTTTTTAGGTCGGGCCGGGCGTTTCGCCTGAGACTTCCTCACCGCTTATGACTCTGAAGCTTCTTAAAAGTTGGCACAAGAGTCTCACAGATGGAGAGCGGGTGGTTTTTAAAATGCGGCTCTCGCCTGAGCGCCGCGCACGTTCGTTCTAAAAAATTACAGAAGTTCCACGGATTGAAGGAGACCCGTTTTCAAATGTGGCTATCGCATTAGCGCCGCGCAAGTTCGTTTATTTTTATATACAAAAAATACAAGAGCTTCACGGATTGAGGACGGCTCCTTTTCAACATGTGGCCCTCGCCTTAGCGACGCGCACATTCGCTTACAAATCTTCCACGAGTTTCACGGATTCCCATGATCAACGTACCAGAAGTGGTTTGGGAAGGACTCCGGATTTTGCGAACGCAACAGTTACGTTGATTCGCGGTGTTGAAATCCCAAGAATGGTGTTCTGACGCGATCCAGGATCGTCCAGACACAGCAGTCAGGTTGATCCATGACGTTGGAATCCCAAGAACAATGTTTTAGAATGCTTCATGGTCTTCAAACGCTTGTCTTCCAACGAAGCAGTTCCCTCAATGGAAATGAACCGTTGCTGGGGCATAAGAAAAGGGAGCTTGAAGGGAGGGTGAACACTGGTCCTCCTCCTCCTCCTCCTCCTCCTCCTCCTGCTCCTCCTCCTCCTCCCCCTCCTCCCCCCTCCGCAATTACACAATATGAATACTACTCTCCTCTCTCCCCTGGTGGCGTCCCGGGAATGTCTGGCCACCCTCCGCATACTGGTTTTTTACACACAGGATTCCCGAGAGTTGGGTTTTCGCTTGGTTTTTGTCCAAGATGCTACTCTCGCTGAAGCGCTGGCCTCATTTGCGGGCTACCGCTCGTTGCGAATCGTGCTCCCGCTGCAGCGCTGGCCTCATTTCCGCCCTTCTGCTCGTTCCGAATCGTGCTCCCGCTGCAGCGCTGGCGTCATTATTTCCAGCGCCATACCACGGCATGGTTGTCGGTCCTTCCAAATAGGCCTCAAAATCTAGAAAATGCCCCCCCTGAAAAAAAAAACAAACAAAAAAAAACAACAACAAAAAAAAAAAACATCGGAAGTGATTACACACTCGGTGTCGATTCGTTTGGGGCGTCCCCACGGCATGCTATGTCAGGCTACGCGTTCTCATTTCCGCGCTTCCGCGCTTGGCTTTTTTTTCAAAATGCTGCGCTCGCTGAGGCGCTGGCCTCATTTGCGGGCTACCGCTCGTTCCGAATCGTGCTCCCGCTGCAGCGCTGGCCTCATTTCCGCGCTTCCGCTCGTTCCGAATCGTGTTCCCGCTGCAGCACTGGCGTCATTATGTCGAGCGCCATACCACGGCATGGTTGTCGGTCCTTCCAAAGAAGCCTCAAATCTAGAAAATGCCCCCCCCCTGAAAAAACCATCGGAAGTGATTACACATTCGGTGTCGATTCGTTGATTTTCTGCGCCGCAGAAGCCCTCCCCACTTTGGGGCGTCCCCACGGCATGCTATGTCAGGCTACGCGTTCTCATTTCCGCGCTTCCGCGCTTGGCTTTTTTTCAAAATGCTGCGCTCGCTGAGGCGCTGGCCTCATTTGCGGGCTACCGCTCGTTCCGGATCGTGCTCCCGCTGCAGCGCTGGCCTCATTTCCGCCCTTCTGCTCGTTCCGAATCGTGCTCCCGCTGCAGCACTGGCGTCATTATTTCCAGCGCCATACCACGACATGGTTGTCGGTCCTTCCAAAGAAGCCTCAAAATCTAGAAAATGCCCCCCCTGAAAAAAAACATCGGAAGTGATTACACATTCGGTGTCGATTCGTTGATTTCCTGCGCCGCAGAAGCCCTCCCCACTTTGGGGCGTCCCCACGGCATGCTATGTCAGGCTACGCGTTCTCATTTCCGCGCTTCCGCGATTGGCTTTTTTTTCAAAATGCTGCGCTCGCTGAGGCGCTGGCCTCATTTGCGGGCTACCGCTCGTTCCGAATCGTGTTCCCGCTGCAGCACTGGCGTCATTATGTCGAGCGCCATACCACGGCATGGTTGTCGGTACTTCCAAAGAAGCCTCAAATCTAGAAAATGCCCCCCCCCTGAAAAAAACATCGGAAGTGATTACACATTCGTTGTCGATTCGTTGATTTTCTGCGCCGCAAAGCCCTCCCCACTTTGGGGCGTCCCAACGGCATGCTATGTCAGGCTACGCGTTCTCATTTCCGCGCTTCCGCGATTGGCTTTTTTTTCAAAATGCTGCGCTCGCTGAGGCGCTGGCCTCATTTGCGGGCTACCGCTCGTTCCGAATCGTGCTCCCGCTGCAGCGCTGGCCTCATTTCCGCGCTTCCGCTCGTTCCGAATCGTGTTCCCGCTGCAGCACTGGCGTCATTATGTCGAGCGCCATGCCCCGGCAAGGTTGTCGGTCCTTCCAAAGAAGCCTCAAAATCTAGAGAATGGCCTCCTGAAGAAACCATCGGAAGTGATTACACATTCGATGTCGAGTCCTTGATTTTTGAGCCGCAGAAACTCCCACGCCCCACCCACCTTGGGGCGTCCCCACGGTATGCTATGCCATGCTACGCGTTGATATTCGACACCATAGTATGCCATGTAATGCTATGCCATGCTACGACATCCGATTGTGCGAATAGAGGTCTACGCCATGGTAAGGGATGGGAGGAAGGGGTAGGACGTCAGATATGACGCAAAAAGCACCTAGCTTGCCCAATCCCCCCTCCCCCTTCACCCTCCCTACTTCGTCCTCCCTCCTACCTCCCCCCTGCTCCATCCGTCCTCCTCCCTCCGCCTGGTCAACCTCCTCATCCTCCTCCTCAGCAGAAGCATCATCATTGTCATCGTTATCGTCATCATCGTCATACCACCTCCACCACCACCAACAGCAACAACATCAACATCAACATCAACATCAACATCATCATCATCATCATCATCATCATCATCATCATCATCATCATCATCATCATCATCGTCATCACAATCGTCATTGTTATCATCATCACCGCCAACATCATCACCATCATCATCACCACCACCATCATCATCATCACCACCACAACCACCACCACCACCACCACCATCATCATCATCATCATCATCAACATCATCATCAGCATCAGCATCATCACCATCACAATCATCATCATCGTCATCATCGTCATCAACATCAGTATCATCATTGTCATCTTCATCATCATCATTGCCATCGTCATCATCATCATCGTCGTCAGCATCAGCAGCATCATCATCATCGTCATCACCATCAGCATCATCATCATCGTCATCATCGTCAGCATCAGCATCATCAGCTAACATCAGCAGCATCATCATCACATCAGCACCGTTATCATCATCATCATCATCATCGTCATCACCGTCATCATCGTCATCATCGTCATCATCGTCATCATCATAATCATCATCAACATCATCATCATCGTCGTCGTCATCACCGTCATCATCATTATCATCAACAGCAGAATCATCATCACCCTCATCATCATCAGCAGTATCATCATCAACAGCAGCAGCATCGTAATCAGCATCGTCGTCTTCGTCGTCGTAAACATCATCAGTATCATCAAGATCAGCAGCAGAGTCATCATCATCAGCATCAGCATCAGAATCATCATAACTCGCATCATCATCAGCATCATCATCGCCATAATCAATCATCTTCAGCATTGTCGTCGCCAGCGTCGACGCCGTCGTCGTCCTCACCATCATCATCAACAACATCATCACGATGATCATCAACATCATCGTCATCGTAATCGTCGTAAGCATCATCATCAGGAGCATCATCAGCATCATCATCATCAACAACATCGTCGACATCAGAAGCAACAACATCACCACCAGCAGCATCATGATCAACATAGTCATCGTCATTACCACCACCACCGCCATCACCATCATCCTCATCATCATCAGCATCAGCATCATCGTTGTCGTCATCATCGCCAACATCATCATCAACAACATCATTACCAGCATCATCATAATCAACATTATCATCATCATCATCATCATCCTCATCATCATCACCACCACCAGCCTCATCATCATGATCAGCATCATCATAATCATCAGCCTCCTCGTCAATACCATCGTATCATCATCAGCATCATCATCGTCGGCATCATCACCATCATCGTAATCATCACCGTCGTCATCACCATCAGCATCATCCTCATCACCATCATCAACAACATCATCCTCCACATCATCATCATCATCATCATCCTCATCATCATCATCATCATCATCATCATCATCATCATCATCCACATCGACATCATCACCAGCATCATCACAATAAATGTTCTCATCCTCGACACCACCACCATGATCATCATCATCATCATCACCCTCACAAGCGTCATCATCATCGTGAGCATCATCGTCGTAATCATCATCATCATCATCATCATCAGCATCATCATCATCATCATCATCATCATCATCATCGTCATCGACGTCATCATCATCATCATTATCAATATCGTCGTCGTCATCATCCTCATCATCATCAACGACGACAACATCATCAGCATCATCATCATAATAAATGTCATCATAGTCATCATCACCACCACCACCACCCTGAGCATCATCATAATCATCAGCCTGCTCATCTTCGTCATCATCGTCATCATTGCCATCGTCATCATAATCATCGTCGTAATCATCATCATCAACAGCATCATCATCAACAACATCATCATCACCACCAGCACGTCCATCATTATCAACAGCATCATCATCATAATCATCATCATCATCATCATCATCATCATCATCATCATCATCATCATCATCATCATCATCATCTTCGTCTTCGTCTTCGTCTTCATCTTAATCTTCATCATCATCATGTCCCCCTCCCCGTCCCCCTACCTCCCTCCCTCTAGAAAGCCAGGTACTGGGAAGGGGTAGTGGTCCTCCCATTGGTTCGTCTTGCGGTCGCGCACGAACCACCGCGAGACGGTGTGGGAGGCGACGTTCCTGAACTCCAAAACGGTAGGCCTCCTACTGCCGAGGGTCCCAGAGATGAAGTTGAAGGTCTCCCCCGCGAGGGCCTCGATGAGGCGGCTCTTCCCCACCGACTGCTTCCCGATGAGGATGAACTGGGGCATCGGGAACTCGACGATGCCCAGCTTGTCCTGGCCAGCTCCTCCTCACCCTCCTCCTCTCCTCCTGGCGGTTCCCCAGAAAGCTGGGAGATGGAAGGTCGCCGCCACCGCCACCTCCTAAGGGGGGTGCATGCATTTACGCACGATGCCCCACGAGCACACCCGGAATCGTACACACCACCACCACCATCACCACCACCACTACCACCACCACCACCACCACCACCACCACCACCACCCACCCCCCTCGTGGAGGACTTCTAACGGAAATGGAGCCCGGGCAAATGAGGGCTGCCGATGCATCGCCGATGCACCGACGACGCGTCGGCGACGTCGGCATGGAGAAAAGCTGCTGCTGCATCGGCGTTGCGGTACGACAGGTGGTGTCCACCTGCTCCAGCCCGCAGGAGGCCCGACCTCTGGCCCCCCCTCCAGGAGGCGGCGGCTTTCCCCCGACCGAGCAGCTCGCAGGCCCTCGAAGGCGCCGACCCCATCATTCCCTCCGGGCCCTGGAGCCAAGCTTGGTCTGGCGCGGTCCGCGAGAGCCAGAAGCCCTGGAGGTGCGCCCGCGCTAGCTTCCGGGGCCGAGGCGGTCCGTACGCTGGCCGCCGAGGTCCATCATATCTCGGCAGCCACCGCCGCACAGGGACGAGGAGCAGCAGCGGGCACACACAAACATGGATTGAGGATCCGTGGATCTGGCGCCCACTCACAAGATCCACGGATCGGGGAAAAGTAACCCCCCCGAAACACGCTGTCGGAGCCGCCTGATTCGGCGACGGAGTGCATTGAAGCGGAACCCGTCGCTAGTCCACGCGCCTCAATTCATGTCTGCGCTTCCTCGAGAGGAGGAAGATGCTGATCACTGATCGCGGGCAATCCAGGGGGGCCATGTAAGCGACGAAAAGAAACTGGGCTTACGTGAGATGACTTGGCGACCTTACGCCGCGGCTGACGCGGGGCGCCAGCGCGGCACGCCACGTTGGAAACGAGGGCGCTTGCGCGCGACCCTACGCGCGCAGCTTACGCGGCAACGACGGTGAAGACGACCCCGTGTCTAGAACAAGCGCGCTCCACCACTCGCAAAGTAACCACTCGCAGATGGCCTGGATCCGCCGCGGGGGGGCTCACGATCCACTGCCTCGAGGCGAGCACGTGCTGTTCGGACACTTTTGCGAGCAGGCACCTTGCGAGCAGCGGAACACGCTCGGTGAGTTCCCCTCCGTCGATCACCTGGCCGCAGACGGGGCGCGAGCGGGTCAGGGCGGAGGCGAAGGCGTGGAGTTAAGTCGGGCATGTCCCTCTACAGAAGGAATATTCAAAAACAGTCCAAAAATAATGGGGGGACGATTGGTCTGCTATTTTGGCTAATTTGAATATGTTTGACTATTTGTAACTTTTCGTCCAAAATCCCTCTGTAGGAGGACATGCCCGACCTACGTAAGCGTGGGGGGAGGGGCCGCCCCCGCGTGCGCGGCCTCTGGACCGCACCCTGCCCCGAGAGGGCTTCTCATCCCAGGGAGGGGGGGGCGCCCCGGCGGCGCTGGCGCCGGGCCGCGTCTCGGCCTCCTGGGGGCCCCGAGATCGGAGGTGGTCGGCCAGATCGCCTCCGCCGCTCGTGCCTCCGCTTGACTCTGACCGCTCCGAAGGCATCTGGTTCCTGGGTGGATGATGCCCTGCTCTTCTTCCTCCCGCTCCCTCCCTCCCTCCCTCCCTCCCTCCCTCCCTCCCCCTCACTCCTCCTCCTCCTCCTCCACCTCCTCCTACTCCTTCTCCTCCTCCTTTTCCTTTTCCTTTTCCTTTTCCTCCCCCTCCCCTCCCTCCCTCCCTCCCTCCCTCCACCTCAACCACCTCCTCCTCCTCCTGCCCCTTTTCCACCTTTTCTTACTGTTATTTTTATTATTTCTCCTCCTCCTCCTCCTCCTCCTCCTCCTCCTCCTCCTCCTCCTCCTCCTCCCTCCTCGTCTTATTATTAGTACGATTGTTCTTCTCATTGTCCTGAGTATTATTATTATTATTACTAGTGTCGATATATTTATGATTAGTGTTAGTAGTAGTAGTAGTAGTAGTAGTAGTAGTAGTAGTAGTAGTAGTAGTAGTAGTAGTAGTAGGAGTAGTAGTAGTAGTAGTTTTAGTAGTAGTAGTAGTTGTTGTTGTAGTAGTAGTAGTAATATTACGGTTAGTCTTATTAGTTGTACTAGTATTGTCCTCATGAGTCTTATTACACGTATTCTTCGTTATTCTTATTATTGGTAAGAATTTAAGTAGTCGTGTTATCATTATTCTTATCAGTTATTATTATTCGCATGTTCCTTCTTACCATTATTACTTTTAGCATCATCACTGTTAGCAGTAGTAGTAGTAATACTATGACGATTATATTAGTCTTACTAGTGTTATTGATAGTGATAGTGTTCGTAGTGTTCGTATTACTCTCCTTAGTACAATACTCTTCTTCGTGTTCTTTTTTATAAAAAAATACTAGTACCATTAAGATCATTGTAATTAGTATCATTCTGAATAACCATAACCTTTTTATTGATAGAATTAATGTGCTTATTAGTATTAGTCGTATTCTTCGTGCTGCTATTATTATTACTAACAATATCATTATTACTGTGATCCCTCTTATTTTTGATGGTAAAAATATGTTTCACAAAAAAGCGACCCTACCTAGGAGTTGGAGCCTCTAGGAAAGCAACATTAGTAGGAGAGGTAAACGCCGTCCTCCTCCTTACCCTCATCGTCGTAGTTGTAGCAGTAGCGGTAGTAGTAGTAATAGTAGTAGTCGTAGTAGTAGTAGTAATAGTAATAGTAGTAGTAGTAGTAGTAGTAGTAGTAGTAGTAGTAGTAGTAGTAGTAGTAGTAGTAGTAGTAGTAGTAGTAGTAGTAGTAGTAGTAGTAGTAGTAGTAGTGGTAGTAGTAGCGCGCCAGAACCGCCGACGCCACGCCGTAAGTGAAGCAGCAGCAGAAGCAGGCAGCAAGTCGCCGAGACAGCAGCAAAAGCAAGCAGGCACGGAGATGAGGGCGGGGCACTGGGGAGTTCTTTACATCTACATATATATATACAGCTACATCTAAATCGAAACCTACATCTACATCTAGACCTACATCTGCATCTACACCTACAGTTACATCTACATCTACACCTGCATCTACATATACATCTACATCAACAGCGAGACTCACTTCTGCATCTATAGATACGCCTACATCTACACCTACATCTACATCTACATCTACACCTGCATCCAAATCTACACCTACACATACATCTACATCTACATCTACAGCTACACGTTCGCATTGGTTTTGCTGTTGCTTTGCATTGCCTTCGCTTGTGTTTTGCATTGCCTTTGCATGGAACATACGTGCGCACACACACGTATAAGTACATGTGTATATATAGCAGCAGCAGCAATAGTGGATGCTGTGCTGCGCTATGCTATGCTATGCTATGCTATGATATGCTATGCTATGCTATGCTATGCTTTGCTGCGCAATGCTATGCTGGGCTAGGCTAGGCTAGGCTAGGCTAGGCTATGCAATGCTATGCTATGCTGCGCTATGCTATGCTGCGCTATGTTGTGTTATGCTATGCTATGCTATGCTATTCTATGCTATGCTATGTGTTTGCTTTGCCTTCGCTTTTGCCTTCAATTTTGCCTTTCCTTTTGCTTTTGCTTGGCACCCAGGGAGCGCAACTGGGGGAACCGCGCGTTTGCTTTTACCTTTGTTGTTGATTTTGCTTGGCTCCCAGTCCCAGGGGACTGGGGGAACCGCCCGGGGCGGTTTGCACTGCCCGGCCCCTTTAAGCCAAGCGAGTAAGAACCCTTCTAGGCAGAGCCTAGGTAGGGAATTAGTATGATAATCATTCGTAGAATGAGTTAACATTAGTAGTATTCGTATTAAACTTCTTGCTAGTAGTGTTGTTAGTATTATTGTTGCTAATAGTAGTTTTAGTAGTATCATTACTAGTAGCATTCGTCTAAGTACAATTCGTCTTAGTGCTCCTCGTATTATTAGTATTATTATACTTTTATTGGTACTATTATTCTTATTACTGATAACTCGTCTTGTTCGTTTTCTTCTTCGTCTTACCCTTCCTCTTCCTCCTCATCCTCCTCCATTCCTCCCTCGTTTCCGTCCTCGGTTCCCTCATTATTTCCCTCCTCCTCATCCTGCTCCTCATCATCATGATCATCATCAGCATCATCATCAGTATCATGATCATCATCATCATCATCATCAGCATCATCATCAGAATCATCATCATCAGCATCATCATCGTCGTCATCGTCATTGTCATCATCATCATCGTCATCATCAGCATCAGCATCAGCATCATCAGCATCAGCATCAGCATCAGCATCATCATCCTCATCATCCTCATCATCAGCATCATCATCATCATCATCATCATCAGCATCATCATCATCATCATCATCATCATCATCATCATCATCATCATCAGATTCATCATCAGCAGCAGCAGCAGCAGCATCGTCCGCATCCTCATCCTCATCCTCATCCTCATTCTCATCCTCATCCTCATCCTCATCCCTCCCTCCCTCCCTCCTCCTCCCCCTTCTGCCCTTCCTCCGTCCCCCCCACCCCTCCCCCCGTCCCTCCCTCCTCCCTCCTCCCTCCTCCCTCCGCCCTCCGCCCTCCGCCTTCCGCCCTCCTCCCTCCTCCCTCCTGTTTCCTCCCTCCTCTCTCCTGTGCCGAAAGAAGTGTGGCGGACGCATGTGGACGGTGCCACTGGGGCCTTGGGTGGAGGTCTCTATGGGGCCACGAAACGTGCGAGTGGTGTGCCGAAACAGGTGTGGCGGACGCAGGTGGACGATGGGTGACATTGGGGCCTTGGGTAGAGGCCCCTATGCGGCCCCGAAACGTCCCTTTGGTGTGCCGAAATGGGTGTGGCGGACGCACGTGGAAGGTGCCATTGGGGCGTATGGTGGAGCGCCCTGTGGAGCCACGAACCGTGCAAGGGGTGTGCTGAC